ACTTATACAAAGACAAGCATCATAGTCTGTATTGTATACATTTATATATGTGTGCACTGACATATGTACACACATATAGCATAACTGATTGTGTTTGGGTCAAATCTGAACGATTTACTACTTTCATCAATCATAACTTTTTTGTTTTACATTGGATTGCATTAAGGCTTTATGATATCCTTCACAGTAGACCTTTGAACATATACAATTGCTGATCACCACTTTCATTGAATTTTGGATGATTTTTCAACTTTGTAACACACACACACACACACACACACACACACACACACACACACACACACACACACACACACACACACACACACACACACACACACACACACACACACACACACACACACACACACACACACACACACACACACACACACACACAGAACAATTTGACACACTTCCCGCTCTTATGTGCCCATCCCCCCACATGGATCACACCTGGCACAATACATGTTCAGTGTCTATTATTTGTATATTTACTGCAGTTGTTCATGTATACCAGTAGACTGATACAATATTTACAGTTTGAAAGGGTGCTAAATGAAATTTGGTGATGATTAATGGTTTTTGTGTTTATGTAATAGCAGTTAAAACAGGACCGGTTAAATTTGACCGCGAACACCAAAGTAAGGGGGGGGGGAAACGAAGACAACAGGAGGGTTAAAGATGCTCTTTGGTCCCTGTGAGTGTATTTCCTCTTTTATTTCCAAAGACAAATTGCAGAGCGTTGGAAATGTGTTCTAAACCTGCCATGACTCACAAGCCAAAAATATCCCTGAGGATTAGATGGTGAGCCAGACTCACAGCTGACACTCGCACAGAGAAAATAAAAAATCTTCCTCACTCTCCTTCACTCTGTCATTGTCATGTTAGCAAACACACATAAAGACACACACACACACACACACACACACACACACACACACACACAACACACACACACACACACACACACACACCACACACACACACACACACACACACACACACACACACCACACACACACACACACACACACACACACACACACACACACGCCCACACCCACACTGGCTGTGAAAACAGTTCCCATGGTGAAGTCAACAAAACTCAATTTTTCTATGTAATTTACTCGGCCGCCGATCGATCGGAGCATCCCTAGATGCAAAAAGTTGAAATAATCGTCTGTTCTTATTTATTCTAGGACCCATGTGCCACTTTATATAAATCTCTGAGCATGAGGTGGGGTTAAAAATAAGTAGTTGGACATTTTATGAACTATATCAATATCATGACTATGTGGTTCATTTTCTTGCAAACCAGCCTTTTTTTGATGGCTTAAACCCCTTGTAATGCATGTGAATAGCACCTCTGTTACCATCTGTTAACAGATAATGTAAACTGTCTCGTTATGTTTTCAAGACGGATTTGATTTTTTTTGTTGAGGAAAACACATGGTGTGTCCTGATTTGTACTCAATGTATTTGTTTGTATATATACGGAACAGCAGAGGTCTAAGTGCAACAGAGGCTCCAAAATCCTATGGAGAAATTGCATTGGTTTTTGTCGAAGGAACCGGAAGGAGTTTACTTCCGGGTTTTAGGACGCGTCACTGTGGCACTCTATGCTCTTCTGGATGAATGGAATGAAAATTCCCACAGACACACTCCAAAATGTTGTTGAAAGCCATCCCAGAAGAGTGGAAGCTGTTGTAGCTGCAAAGGGGGGGGACCAACTTAATATTAATGCCTGGGAATTTGGAATGGGATGTCATATAAGCTTCTGTACAGGTGTAATGTGTAGGTGGCCCAATACTTTTGTCTATATAGTGTATCTCCATATGTTTGTGGTGAGGATTCATACTGTAGATGACAAAGTACAGCAACTTTGATTAAGATAGTCAAATGGTTTCCATTCATTCTGTAGAATGTAGGCTATTCGTGTGTCTATGTACAGAAAATATATATTATATTACAGATATCCATGGCCTTTGAATCTGTAAATACATTTCATTCTATAACTTCCAGTGTGTGTGTGTGTGTGTGTGTGTGTGTGTGTGTGTGTGTGTGTGTGTGTGTGTGTGTGTGTGTGCGTGCGTGCGTGCGTGCGTGCGTGCGTGCGTGCGTGCGTGTGTGTGTATGTGTGTGTGTGGGTGTGTGTGTGTGTGTGTGTGTGTGTGTGTGTGTGTGTGTGTGTGTGTATGTATGTATTTACTGTATGTGTGTTACTTGCTGATGCATGCAGGTGCCGAGAGAGAGAGTCAATATCTGCTTAACAAGAATGTCATCGAGGACAAAAGCTGACCTTTAATTAATTTGTAGCGTTGCTCATTCTCTCTCACACTAAATTTACTTTAACAGATGCAGCTCAGTCAAGGAGAAAATGGAAAGTTAATAGAAAACTAATTTGGTTGTGAGTGAGGGCATGTGTTTGTTGTGTGTTATTAATCACAGTTGTTGGCACTGACAACTTCACCGTCGGTAAGGCTTTTCATTGTCAGATTAAGCCAACTCTAAGTATTAGGGTAACACTTCAATCGGCAAAAAACAATCCATGAGAAATATTTTGAGTTACCAAGCAACAGTAATGACACTAATTGCTTCAGTAATTCTGCAGGAACATATGCCTTGGCAGCAGGTATTGATTTAAGCCTGCTAAGCTTATAATGTCATTATAAAAAAGATGCATGGGTTATTTGGTTGAAAGGTGCAATAACCTTTATTGTATTTTCTCTTTTTTTAATTTGCAGAGAGTTTTCTAAAGTCAGACCATGCATCGTCTTTGGCTTGGAGACTAGACATTTCTAATGAGGTTTGGCTAGGCTACGTATATGTTCTGTTTAGTTGTTTTTTTGTTTGTCAGCAGGATTCTTGGAAAACTACAGGCTCGATTTTCACGAATATTGGTGGAAGGGTTTAGTTTGAGCCAAGAAGAAAGAAGTTGGACCATATCTCTATGAGGGGATGGATAGACAAATTGTTTTTAATTTCCATTAACATTGCGAGACAGGGCATGTTCTTTGCAAGGTCTGCTAAGTATTCCTTCAACGTATTACAATGACGTAGCAATGTCATGCACAGTCAAATCTGGCAGTAAGCTGACCCATGACTGTGAGGAAACTCTGCAAAAATACAGCTGTGAAAATATGAAGGGAACCTAAATCAGTTTTTTTAAATCTGATTAAGCCAAGGCAATTTCCACAGGTAAAGAATAGTCTGTACCATGACTCCAAGCTGCTTCGCAAATTGAAAGGTTTCTTCTTTCGCCTATGCTTAACTTTTCCTGTTTCATGAAAATTGGGCAGGTATATACTCAGTGGCGGCTCCAGAGTATTTTTGTTGGGTAATCTATGGTAGGGCTAACCCATACAGTGGTGGGGCTCAAGTCAGAATTTGCAATGTAATTACATACATGCTATATCGCCCCCCTTGACAGTGAAACGCCACGCGTGAGGTTTAGATTATTTCCCTGTCTCAATCCAAATTGAACTGTATGAAATAAAAAGGCACATTTGTCTTGTAGTAAATAGAAAGGGCGACCTGGAGCCAATCCTGCAATTTCCCCACAGGTGAAAGAGTTGACATGCTGAAAACCCAACCCCTGGTGTCTGGGGGGATTCTCCCCCAGGAGATTTTTTGAAATACTAACATAAAATACACATTCTGGTACTCTCTTGAGAAGAAAAATAAATAAATCTATTACTACACGACATATTTAAAAAGAATTATTTTTGTTTTTTGTTACTTTGTTCTGAAAGCTGAACCTGCTCCTCCTCACAGAGAGAAGAGGGAAGAGGCTGTGAATTACTTTACATTGTGGATAAGGGTGGATAGCGCCCATTGTTCTGTGTGTCAAAATGAAAGACAGCCCACACACCTATCAGTCATCAAACCGTGGGGTCTTATTTCATTACGTGTTGATTTCTATCAACACGTAATGTTGTATCGATGTATAGAGATGTACTACCGCAAAAGTATTCTCCGTCGGGACTTCCTGCAACAACACCACGCCGTTATCGTGATTTTGATTGGCCAGAAGACATTATCAAAGATGTTTTATTGAGAAGATGATCACTACGTGACAAAAGTTTTCAAAACCGTTTCTAGTCTTCGGTATTTCCAGACAAGTGGCTACTGAAATCAATCTTACTAACTGCTGTCTGTGCAATTTACTCCGCGCGAGTTGGCGGACTTTATTTTGCTTACTTTAACATCATTTTTCCTGGTGGGGCTAAGGTGGGGCTAAGCCATTTCTTGGTATGGCTGTAGCCTACCCCAGCCATATCCTGGCGCCGCCACTATACTGCTCACAAATAGAGAAACAAACCTCCAACCAATCTGGGAACAGTACATAACCTTTTTACTGGAGTTAAAATGGTTGCAATACTCAAATAAAAGACAGTTCTCTAAATGTTTCAAAGTTTCTCTTCTTATCAAATTACCCAGGATGGGAATATATGGAAAACTTGGCTACTGATTCCTGTAACTTGTCTGTTGGTCATGTGACCCTGACCCTACAGGTCAAAGCGGTCTTCCAAGAGGCTCTCAATAAAAGATGCCATTTTGTTGACTCACAGGAAATTCAGAATGCAGCCTTTTAGGAGATTTCTATACTAGAGTTTTAAAATGTAGGATTTCTAGGTCTTTGACATTGATTTTGACATTTTCTTTTATGTTTCTCCAGCGCAGATGGAGAAAACAAGAAATATCTTTATTTATCAGTATAAACCTATATTTATTTTACAAACCAGATACTGTAGGAAAGAAATACGAGATACATTTATGTTTTGTACTTCAGATGAAACTCTAAACCTGAACACAGATGTTAGGCTTGTCTATTAACAGACTAAAGGACCTGCAACATTGGAAATCAATCAAAGGACGACTTGGACTTTTGTTCTGTCTCTCCTTCCTTTCTTTTTCCTTCTTGGGTCATTCACAACAATTTATATAATTGACAGAAACAATCATACTGAAAATGGGAAAGGAATGGAGGTGCTGACCTAGACCACCAGCTGCGATGACCCTTCCTCCCAGGCATCCTGCCACGAAGTCCGCCCTCTTCTCCCTCATCCTGGATGTTCGGGTGGGTTTGATCCAGATACCTGCCAAAGGTGAGAGGACATACTGTCATTCTTGTTGCAACAGGTCACTCAACCACAACAGGAAATTAAATTCATCATTGGCTAAGCATTTAAAGGAACACACAAACGAGAAATCAATACACCAATATTTAACTGTTAAACATTTAATCTCAAATATATGGGCATTTATTGGTTGGGTTCAGGCTTTTTCTCCAGATGCTTGAGCAAAAATGTGATCTCGTTCAATTCTCTGTTTGTCATAAGGTCGTGCTCTCAGTCTGTGCTACAGTTAATCCTATTTGGCCTATTTATTAGAGTATTGGTTTTACAAAAAACTGAGCCAATCAAACAAAACAATATAAGTGATTCTAAAAATCTTCTCAACTTGATATGCTATATTCATGAGCATATGAAAAAAGTAAGAAAGATACATGAAAAATGTCCTCTAGTAGAATGTTTTCTCAAAGTTTGAAGCATAACAGTGTAGGAGCTATTACTGAAGCATCAAGGTGGAACCAATGGGCACAAACCATTGAAAAAATAGTCCAGGGCTAGGGTTATTCACAGTGTTCAGAAAATGTGATGGTTAAAACAAGCAAGCTTAAAGTTAAGTTCACACAGAATGGAATGAACTAGTTCCCATCAAATTTTTTTATATTTTTTTAGTGAAGTAGTTCACATTCATATATTCCAAGTATTTTTAAATGACCCATTCTTATTTAAGAAGAAACCATTTTCTGTTAACTGGACGCCCCAAAACAAAAGCCAGACTGACTCATTAAGTAAAGAAATTGTTCAGTTAGTTGATAAACGTTTGGTTTACTTTTTGAGACTTAGATGAGAAGCTCAATACCACTCATGTCAGTGAAAGGGTATCGATCTTCTCACTTCTCACACGCTCTTTGAAAAAAGTGTGCTTCCCAAAATGCATTAGTTATGTGATTTGCTAGATTTGCTAGAAGTTTCAGCAGATTTGACTCCAAAACTGCAATCCTTGCTTTGCCTATAGTAGCCCTTGTTCTTAGAAATCACCTAAAACATCAACTAATTAAGAATAACAAAGGATTTCACTGCTAGACAAAGGGAAAGAGCACAGAAATTGAAAGGAAATGGAGAAGGAGAGGAAAAAATAAAAGTGTGCAGTGTAGATGGATCTGTATCTGACAGCATAACAAGCTCTGCCTCAGGGTCCCTTCACTCCCCACCTCACCCTCCCTCGTTCCATAGATTGAAACACACTACCTAACATTAGGTTCAATTTCTATATTTTGGAAAGTAATAAGTTTCCAACTTCCAATAACTTTCCAACGTTTTTTCTTTTCTTCTCTGCAAAACTCCTTGGCAAGGAAAAGGAAATTCAGGAAAGTGAAACAAAATACACCGTAGCACAACCATTACAAATCTGCAACCTAGACATAATGCTAATTCATGCAAAATGCTGCAAATGAGCTGCAAAGAACCCACCAGTGTTCATTCTGGTCGTTTTTTTCCCCACAATGCTGCAGCGTACCAGTTTAAAATTGGGTTTTTTCACATGTGTCTGAAAAGTATGGATTTTTGTAAATTGAGAGGGCATTTCCCCCATCATCCAAAGTGGAATTGATTCCCGAAAAACACTGAGTATAGTTGAAATGACTATTTGGACTTCGAGCTTAATGCTAACTATCTTACTTTATGGTGTAAGCATGCTAACATTAGATGATGATGATGATGATTCAACTTTATTGTCATTACATAGTACAGGTACTAGTAATGAAACAGTTTCTCTGCATTTGACCCATCCTAATGTTAGGCGCCATTATGTATGGCGCCCGGGGAGCAGTGTAGGGAACGGTGCCTTGCTCAGGGACACCTCGGTAGCACTTGGTTTTTCTGGGACTTGAACCGGTGACCTGCCAGTTGCCAAGCCAAGTCCCTATGGACTTTGCCAACACCGCCCTCAGGTTATGAGAACGAAAAGTGAAATGCTATATTAAAGACATGTTTCTTTAAAGGGGACCTATCATGCAAAATGCACTTTTGTACGTCTTTTATACATGAATATGTGTCCCCGGTGTTCCAGGGAACTCACCAAGTGTCAGAAAACACAACCCTCTCTATTTTCCTCCATACCCAAATCTCTAAAAAAAAGGGGCTGCAACGGATCTGATAAGAACTGATCCAGATTTGAACACTTTCCTGACGTCAGGACAGTGGCGCTACGGCTATTGGGCCAACTCCACCAATCAGGAGGAGACAGCCACGGCCATTGCCGTTCGAAAGCGCTGGAGACGCTGTAGTACATATGCCAGGCCAGTAGATGGTGCTGTTCTCACTGAATCTGCCCAGAGCTAGAAATTGTCAAATTGAGCAAAATGAGGCATGGCTAAAATGCATGATCTGTTTGGTATTTTGAAAAAAAAAAAAGTATAAATATGCCTTATATAGGTATGGTCCTACACTATATTATTCAAATATAGCATGATAGGTCCACTTTAAATAAGCGCTAAAATAAAGTACAGCTGAGTTTGACTGGATGTTTTTGAAGGTATTTGATCTTAAAGCAAAATGTTGGACAAATATTAAAGGTTGACCTCATGATAGCTCTAGAGGAAAAGTCAGTGGATCACCAAAATGATCAGAATTCATCCTGAGGGAGACATGAATGTCAGCACAAAATGTCATGGCTATCCATCAAACGTTTCCCTCAAAAGCACAAATGTCAACTTTATGGTGGCAAACCCTCCCGTGCTGTAAGAAAACAGTTATTGATTTGGACAAAAGTGTCAAATGAATGTAATATAATACAACACATTTTGTGTCTAAAACGGAAGCTCAAGGCTTTAAAGGAGTCCTATTAATCCTTTTGGGGTTTTCCCATTCCTGTAGGTTTTTTAAAATCCTTTGTTCCCTCCAGAGGGAGTTTCTGTCCCTCAAACGCTGCCCCCCCCCCCTGCCTGAAACTCCTCCATTAGACTTGTTTGTTTACTTCCGTAACATAATGAAATCACTATGTATGTAAAATCAACTCGAAATGCGGCGCAGCTTTTGCGGGCTTCACGTAACGTCCATATTTGCCTATAAATAGTCAGAAACTACCGTATTAATATTCATTTGACTGACTGCATGAAGAAGATCGCAGGAAATGACGACAGAACAGCTAAAAAAGAAATTTCACACCGTGTCAGATTTTGGTTCTTTTGGGGAGGTGGAGACAAATCACATTGTTTGGTGGATGCAGTTTGAACCAGAGTAGCAGCATTGAGGTCGGATCGTCACCAAAATAAATAAATAAGTTAATGAAAAAATACACATAACCTTCCTCAGTAAGAAAGTATCGGGGATCCCTGCGGAGTGGAGTCAATACATTTTAATTTTTTTATTTGGTGGTTTGTGTTCCAGCTGTCAATCAGCTGTGCGCGGCGTCTCCACTGCAGCCTGTGCGTCTTAACCCCCCCCGCAGCAACTCTATCCACCACTTAAATTAAATGTGTTGTGTTGTATCAGCTGCCAAATCTACCAAATATATGGTGTTCTTAGTTTCCATACCTCCTGTGTTTTATGAGCGACTTCTCAAGTCTTAGCAAACGGCATAAAACATGATTAAACATGATAGTAAAAACCATGCTCGTATCTATACAACCTATAGAAATGCAAAACGGCGTCAGTTTAGACGTAATTCTGTCCTTCTGCATACCGCATCATTTATGAGAATACATGTCATAACATTAAGACAACATATTCGAGGTGGTTTTAAATAACATATCCGTATTTATTTATTTCTCCAAGTTATGTTTTTGTGTGCACTGAGGAGTCTCAAACAGGCGTTTGTTTAATCATTTTAAGATTGGCTTTAATCCATTTATATGATACATGAGAGGTAACATTTTATTTATGGTATTATTTCCACATATTTCTCTCCATTCTTTCTTCTGCCAACGGTGTCGCAGTTTCTCGTTTCTCCCGTTTTTGTGCGTACCGCGTACGGATGGGTTAGAGTTTGCGTGGAGGGCCGCACATTTTCCCGTCAAGTTTGTTTTTTATAAATCGCAAACATTGCTTAGAAACTGGCGTGCGCCATCTTTAGAGCGTACGCACCGTTTATAAATGAGGCCCCTGGTGACTACGTCCATTTTAGTAGCCATAGTTAGAAAAGGAACTAATGACCAATTATTTTTCATAACAACATATTAGTGTCTTTCTTGCCAGACACATTTACTTTACCTTAAGATATGTAGAGAGATAAACTGCATGCCTGTCACATGTGCATTCTGACACACAGCCTTTGTGAAGCAAATAGCAACCAAGAGACAGTGCAATCCATTCTCCCTTACAAAAAGGGAAACTTGCCTAGGCATTTTCACTGCTGCTTTAAAGAGGACTAATGTCACACACACACACACACACACACACACACACACACACACACACACACACACACACACACACACACACACACACACACACACACACACACACACACACACACACACACACACACACACACACACACACACAAACTGGCTATGATGGTATGAGTTGGTGAGTTGAGTGACGTGTGGGGCAGACATGTGTCTGGTGGACTCAGCTGGAGGAGAAGAGAGTGTGTTATTTAAAGCTCTGAATCAATCCCCTTCTTTCTCTTGTTTCACTCTCCCAGACATCACCACTCCACTGTGTTCCTGTCCCCGAGCTCAATATAACAAGGCATACGAGTCAAAAATCCACACACACACATGTTGCGACACAAGCCTTCGAACAGATTCACATGCATGCAAACAGACCGAAGAATATTCTAATATGCATGTGACGCAGAGACACATATGGACAATCTTTCTTATGGATACAGTACAAAAGAATATCCACCCACACACACACACACACACACACACACACACACACACACACACACACACACACACACACACACACACACACACACACACACACACACACACACACACACACACACACACACACACACACACACACACACACACACACACACACACACACACACCTTTCATTTGCCCAATGGAAAC